GCTGTAATGAAATACCCACGATGACATTTTTGGACCTTACACTCGGGTTTCTTAGCTGGTGTGGTTTTTGGCCAGTCAACAATTGAAGCCTAACCTTTTAACGTCTTCGTCTCATCAGAGGCCCAAAAATGACTTAAGGTTTTATTTTCCTCTCATCCTGCCAGTTCTCGCTATTCCCTCATATTCGCTCATCTTTGACTGTTACGTAACGTTCTTGTTTCGCTCCTGTAAATTGCATCATCTGGCTATGCTATATATGTTTTTGAAGAGCTTTGCCTACATATCTGCGCATCAGATCTTTTTTTGTGCCTGCAAACAATTAAAAAAAACATCTTGTAATATACTCACAATTCATTTCCTTTATTTCAGATACTTCTATAGCAAGAACTACAAAAACTGCATGTTGTTCACCTACTATGGAAGAGATGGAAACGCAAATAATTTTGAAACGTACAATGAATGCAAAGCGATGTGCATGTAATATAGATGTCTTTTCGGATCCAGATCCATCATTTACGATATTTGTGTACATAGAGGAGATAATAAATGTACCGGCAAGTTTATTAGTAAATTAGCACATTTTTTGTCATTGGGACAAGCCATGAATAAAGCGAGAAAATTGTCAAGTCTTCGCCGACCATATATGGAATGTAGACCACATTATTCACATGTTGAAAGATGGTGGAATATTATGGAAGGGGACCTGAAATGAACAATGTTGTTAAAAAGAATAAAATTTTTTAAGAAGTCAAGTAGAGAAAAAATATATGATTTAAGAATTGAGTAGAACTATTGCGAAAAGTAATCAAGGAGTTTTAACCTTGAAAACTGATTAATGTGATTTTACTTAAATTAGCATTTACTGAAAAAAAAGAGGCGAACTTTTCAAATAAACAATTTTTTTAGTGGTTCTTCTACCTCCTTTATCATTTGAACTGGCTCAACATTTTAGCTCTCAGTATGATACAATGGATAGAAGAAATCTAAGTTCAACAAGTTTATGGGGTTTTTTTCCAAATAATTTC